TTGGCTCTTCTTTGGGGGGAAACGGTAGTTCTGGCAGTTCTTTTCTGGTTAGGTCTTATTTTTGGGGAAATAAGTTACTATAATGCATCAGTTTCATCTTTTCAGGAAAACAGTAGTTCTGGCAGTTCTCCGCAAAGGGTGTTTTTCCATAACCAGCGGAAGGAAAACTTTCAGATTTCCGACGGTACCTGAAGCTGCTGATCTTTGAACATGTTCGGATGCGGTGCAGTCAGGACGTCGTCCGCCAGCTGGACTTGGCTGTCAATATTGACCGGAGTCGTAGCTTTGCTGCATAAATATTTATTAAAGATCTCCTGCGCTCTGAAGGAAAGCTGCGAAGCAAGAAAAAAATGACATTAGAAAGAAAAGTATGCAGGACTTACAGCGGCCATGAGATACAGGCAGTCCTTGACTTACAACAATTCGCTTAATGACTGTTCAACGTTACGACGGCACTAAAAAATAGACGTAGGACCATTCTTCACGCTTACGACCTCCGTAGCATTTCTGTGGCTGGTAGATGCTTGTCAAGAGGTTCATATTTATGATGGTCTCAGTGTTCCCAGGGTCACGTCATCCCCTTCTGTAGCCTTCAGACTAGTAAAATCAATGGGGAAACCCCGATTTGCTTAACAACCATGTTACTAACTGAACAACTGCAGTGATTCACATAGCGACTGTGGCAAGAAAGGTCATAAAATGGGGAGGGGAAACTCACTGAATGAATGTCTCACTTAACCGCAGAAATGTTGGGCTCAAATGCGGTTGTAAGTTGAGGACTACCTGCATTTATGGTGGTCTTGGGGATATGGGATCCCCTTTTGCGACCTTCTGACAATCAAAGCTAGTGGGGAAAGCCCTGATTTGTTGAACAACTGGGTTACTAACTTAACAACTGCAGCGACTCAGTTAAGCACCTGAACTATGGTCACGGGGATGCTACAAAGGTCGTAAGTCTGAAAAATGGTCACAAGTCCCTTTTTTTGTCAACTGCGGTGTTAACGTTCAATGGCCACTAAATGAACTGTTGTGTCATGCACTTGTTGGAGTCTGATTCTGAGGGGGAGATTGAGCATCTGACAAGGAGTGGGAGTGTGGCTCCGGTGGCTGTGGAAAAAATGGGGGAAAGGCACAGTCCGGCTAGGCATTCAGAGGAAAACCCAGGGCCACCCCCTCTTCATCCTAGGGCACGCACGGAGGAATGGAGAAGGGAGCAACGTAGGTTACGGGAGAGAAAAAAGCCCTGATCCCTTTCATTAGTTGCAGCTGGGAGAATAGGATATAAGTGGGGCGTTTGCACACAGCTCCTTGCTGGAAACAAAGCGTACATTATCTTTGTCAAGGTTTTGGTGTTCTCCCAACTGTGGTTGCTGTGTTATCCTGGCCTGCCATGTTAATTATTTCAGTGTGGTTTGTGTTGGGGTTTTTATTTCAAATTAACTTTACTTTGGGTGCAGACTGCATTTACTCCCTCCACAAACTGTTTTCTTTAAGAGTTTGATACCCAGCTGAGGATAATTAGACACTGGGGCCAACTTGGAGGCATTAAAGGGAATTTATTCTACTTTTGTGACTTTGCTATTTTTGTGTCACACCCAGAGTCATCACATGTTGTAAGTCAAGGACTACCTATCTTCTCCTTCCCAGGGCAATGACTCCTTTCTTCTCCCTGCTTCTCCTCCACTCCACTTCAGACCTTCTCCAAAGAGTTTGAACAGCCTGAATTTATTGTTTCAAAATAAATAGAAATTAAGGGCAGCAGGGGGAGGGGAGGACAGGTGTTCAACATCCTTACCTCCTTTTTGTCGTGAGCAGGTATGTGATTGAAATAGTCGCAGGCTTGCCAAAACAGAATGTTTTCTTCACTAAACTCCTTCCGTAAAAAATCCTAGTTGGGAAAGAAGAATTAAAAACCACACTGAGGGGAAGTGTCCAAGAACCCTCCGAAGCCCACTGTTGTGGCCCACCAGTGGCCAGAGGAGCTGGAAGCAGACTCGGACAATGAGGAGGTTGGGGAGGAACATGGGCCAGTCCTGGAGTCTGGGGAAGGTTCGGGGGACAGCTCTGCATCAGAGGCAGAGACGGGGCCGGGGCCGTCTGACAGTTATCAGCTGCTTTTGCAGTGGGAGATCAGTGGGGAAGAAGAACAGCTGGAGCCTGTTCCTGATGTGCTCACGCACAGAGCTGCCAGAAGAAGGGAATAGTTAAGGAATAACGGTCAACTCAGGAGTAAAGGCACATGTGAATGGGGACTGGCCCCTCCCATAGGGAATAAAGAGGACTGAAAGGGGAGTGGGGTTTGCAGGAGACAATTAGTTCAATTCATGAGAGTGAAGATCTGTGCCTGACTTCTTGCTAAGTAATTGCTGCTACAGAGTGGCATTTGGAAGATATCGGCCTGGCAGCTCTCCAAGCCTGATAAAGGCCTGTAGTTGTGAAATCTCATGAAAGACTGTTGGCCGGGACTTTGTTGGAGGGGAATTCCCTTTGACCTAAATAAAAGGGGTTTTATCAGGATGAGGAGTCGGCTTCGTGCTTTTGGGAAGCTTAGGCCAGAACACCCACCAGATCTCAAACCCTGAAACATCGTTGACAGAAGGGACATGTTTGTGTCTCTTTCAAAGTCTGTCTTGGATTGGGGGAGACACGGCTGGTGGGTCTTGAAAGCGAATTGAGCTGCAACAGCAACCGAAGTAAGCCCAGCTGTGGAGAAGGATGATGGGGGCCACCATTACTTGTGATGGCCCCGAAGGAGATAACGATGTTACTGGCCCATGTACTGGCATAAAATGGAAGAACATTTTGAGGTGACATCCTCCTGGCTCAAGGGATTAAGCTGGAGGGATGGGGGACACACACACACGCGCGCACAAAATGTGTTTCTCTCTTCAAACGAGACCCCTGCCCCGAACAAATCCAGACAGACAGACACATCCAGAAATTCCAGAAGCTATGATGCCCCACGTGTCCACATTACATGGCCCAGAAAAAGTGTGACTCAAAATTATTACACGCATTTGGGGCCAAAAAGAATGTAACACCCCCAAACCTACAGGTGGTATCCCAAAGCTGCTTTTTTTTAATTTCAAGAGGCAAACTGAGACTTTGTGTTTTTTCTTTGAAGAAAAAGAAGGAGGAAGAGGAGGAGGAGGAGGAGGACGAGGAAGGCGGAGGAGGAGCAGAAGAAGAAAAGGAGGAGAAGAACAGGAAAGGAAGGGGGAGGAGGCGGAGACGAAGAAGAAGAAGAACAGGAAGGGGAGGAGGAAGGGAGAAGACAAGGAGGGAGGAGGAGGAGGAGGTGAAGAAGATGAGGAGGAGGAGGAGGAAGAGGGGAAGGAGGAAGGGGGGGACGAGAAGAGGAGAACAGGAAAGGAAGGGGGAGGAGGAGGTAAAGAAGACAAGGAGGAGGAGGAAAGGGGAGGAGGAGAAGAAGAGGAGAACAGGAAGGGGAGGGGGAGGGGAAGAAGAAGATGAGGGGGAAGAGGGGGAGGAGGAAGAAGAGGGGGAGGAGGAGGAAAAAAAGTAGTAGTAGTAGTAGTAGTAGTAGTAGTGTACCACCACCAGTAGTAGTACCACCGGTAGTAGTACTAGTAGTAGTTGTTGTTTCTTGGATGAGGGTGAAACATCTTCAAAGGAAAACCAAGAAAATCCAGTTGCCTCTTGAAAAAGCACCTTTGGGACAACCGTGACCTAAAGGACTAAAAAACTCCACAGACATCTACAGCTGTGTTTCTTCCAACCAAGGCCCTAAGCACCTGGGCACACCGCCTCTTCTCTCCTTCCTCCAAAGGAAGCCTTAGGCCTTCCCTAAGGCCTGCTATTCCACCTCCAGCCTTGCCATGTTTGCCAAGGTCAGGGAAGACTAGCCTAGGGGGCTTGCCTAGTCCAGGAGATTTCAGGCTCTCTTAGATGCCACCAGGATCTGGTTGCTAGCTGCAGCTAGACGCTTGCTCAGGGCCCTCTGTTTTGGGATAACGCCAAACCAAAACCGTGGCTTAATCATTCTCCATTGCTTACAGAGAAATATCGAATACCAAGGGGATCTTGAAGGAGGCGCTCAAAGGAAACAGCCCAACTGGCAACTCTTCTGTCGCGTTGTCGTTGGCAGCTCTGGACACTGGGCAGACTGGCATTGCTGCTGAGGCTGGTGTCACTGGTGCCATCTTTCAAGTCACTGTGATTCAGCTCTGCAGTAATGTCAAAGGAGAAATTAATCCGGCAATAAACTGGTGGCTGTGTCAACCTCTCCAGAACAGAAAACTCTGAAATTTCTCATTTGCTACAGGGGAAAGGTGAGGATCGTTCAGCCGGTTCTGGTGTTCAGCTGGTTCGGACCGGTCCTGGCATAACAGTAGGAAAAATTTTGACTGGTTCGGAGAACCGACAAATACTACCTCTAGGTGGCCCCACCTTCCCGCCCCCGCTCTTAATCCTCTATATTCTGTTTTTTTATTAGCTCAGCTGATTCACGCAGCGGAGCAGATTGCCACGTCTCAGCTGAGCTAAAAAACAGCACAGCTCACCAGTGTTGATACAAAGGGCGGTGTCTGAGCCCTGCGCATGCACAAGCGAAGCAAGCGCTCTGAAACAGTAGGAAAAACCCACCACTGGTGAGTAGCACAGCAAAGGACAAGGCTTTGCAGGTGGGTTTACGACAAGTCACCACGGCCAACTCATTGGCCGGATCAGCATTGTAGGTTTCCTCCGCAGGCCAGCTGCCCAGGGGGCGGGGGAGAAGACAGCCAAAATGGGGCATGGGAGGGCCACACTTGACCCCCATGCGACCGTATTCGGCCTGGACAGCCTCCTGCAGCTGTTAGGAATAACAAGGTTACCTAACGTAGTTTGGGTAAAATAATATATATAAACTATGATAGTAAGTTTAAGTGTGTGTCACTTTAAACTGCAAAGCATGTAATTTTGGGTGCGGTCATGAAACCGCCATAAGAGGGAGCAAGAGAACCTGCTGGATTGCTGACGATTGCTGGATATACTGGACTGATGGTTTGCTAACTGCGTGTTCCCTGCTACTGAGTTCTGAACGTCGAAGGAAGAAAGCAGGTTTGACTTCTTCATATCTCTACTGCGAGGAGATATATTACTGGACTGATATTTTTAAGTTTACTGACCTCTTTTTCGACACTGGACTTTGCAACTAAATAATCCCCGGACAGAATGATATATGGACTGTTTGACTATGCTAAAAATCTTACTGGAATAAACTATTTAATTAGCACAGTGTATCTGTTTTACTGAGTGTAAGCTACAAAAACGTTTATCTCACATATTTTGCCTGCCTGCCTGACTGCTGTGCAGATTCTGCTAGGGTGTATCCCTAACAACTTTGGCCAACAAATTGCTGCAGGAGGCCGTCCAGGCCAAAAACAGGGCATGCGGGGGGCACATGTGGACTCCTGCGCCCTGTTTTAGCCGCCAGAGGCAACACAGGCCACAGCCTAAGATAGGGTTGGCAACCCTTTTCAAAATTGAGTGCTGAAATGGGAGCACGCGCTCACGTGGGGGAGTGCTGGAAACTGGAAGAGCAGCTCCCCCAGTGCGCATCACGCATTTCTACGCATGTGCACGTCTCCCGCGCACCCTCTGCCCTCCCCGTGTATGCGCACCAGGTACCCGACAATCAGCTGTTGGGCAGTGGCACGCGTGTGCATGCGCACTGGGGCTCTTCCGGGCGAGCTCTCGCATGCCGGGGAAAATGGCTCTGCGCGCCACTTCCAGCACGCATGGCATAGGTTTGCCATCACAGGGCTACTGCAAAGAAAATGGGGACAAACTATTTTCTAAAACACCAAAAAAAAAAAAGACAAGAAGCAACGGATGGAAACTCATCAAGGAGAGAAGCGACCTAGAACTGAGGAGAAATTTCCTGACAATTAAAACAATTAATCAGTGTAATAACCAGAAGTTTTGAATATTCCAACACGGGAGGTTTTAAAGAAGGGGCTGGACAGCCACTTCTGAAAAGGTATAGGGTTTCCTGCCTGAGCAAGGGATTGGACTAGAAGACCTCCCAAGTCCCTTCCAACTCTGCTCTTCTCTTAAAAAAGGAACCGGCCTGTCAGGATCTGCGAGGCGTTACCTGGATAAAGCTGGTAGGAGCCCCTGGTATGATGCCACTTCAGCAGATACCTCCAGTCGCTCAGGGAAGGCCATCCTTCAGCAGCCATGCCCGGCGGAGGGGACGAAGACACGGAGAAGGCCCGGCTGGCCTCCCTGTGGTGGCGACCCCAGCCGCAGCAAGCATCCTTCCTCCCTGCTCCGTTAGCTCTATTTTACAGCATTCCCTCCAAGTGGCGGCCCCTCCATCCCCCCACCCCACCCCCAGAGCCTGAAAGATGCTCTCTTGGTGCACCCGACTTAAAAGCTGATCCAGTGCGACATCAATAATTGAAGAGGGGAAAAAAAGCCCTTCGTGGCTGTTGCCGAAGGGATATGAATTATTCAGCCGGCAACTGCGATGCGAGGAGGAGCGAAAGCGCTCGAGCGGCCACAGCCGAGTGGCCAATCCAAAAGCAACACACGCACAAATACACACACACAGTGCACACACCTGCCCTCCACACAAACAGCTTTGTCCTGGGCTTTCCTGTCTCCCTAAAGAAAATGAAGTAGGTGGGGAGTCAGGTTTAAAACTTTTAAAATGGCTTCGTTGGGGATGGGGTTTGTAGATTGTATAGCCAGACCAGGATATGAGGGTTTCTTTTAGCTGACCCATCACTCGTTACTTTGCTCCGTTTCCAAAATCAAGAGAGTTCTGATGATGCCAGTACACTGCACGACAACTAGTCTGACTATGACATGGTAGCGGGTGGGTAGGGGGCAGCATTCAAAAATCCATCAACTGGTTCACTGCCCGGTTGATGGGTAGGTGTGGTCTACCGGAACTTTCTGTTACCGGCTTCCGGTGCACTTCCAGAGCCTGGGGGAGGCCATTTTCGCCCTCCCAAGGGTCCGGAGGCTTCCCCCAGGCCTCTAGGAGGGGGCGAAAAGAGCATCCCCCGGACTCTGGAGGCCCACTGGAAGGAGGAAACAGGCCCGTTTCCGGACTTCCAGAAGGCCCATTTTCCCCCTCCCAGAGCCTCCACACGGACTCTGCACCTACCTCCATTGAAAATGGGCCACCCAGAGCCTCCACACAGACCCTGCACCTACCCTCATTGAAAATGGGCCACGTGGAGACTCCTAGGAGGGGTGGGGTGGGGTGGGTGGGGCCAGCCGGTCGGTTGACATACCGGTTCGGTGAGCCAGATGTAACTTTAACAACCAGGTTGTCTGAACTGGTCCAAACTAGTAGAATCCCACTCCTACCTAGTAGTAATGGAAATATCCCCCACCCTTTCCTGTTGTGCTATAAATTGTTACAGGGTAGTCCTCGACTTACGACAGTTCATTTAGGGACTGTTCAAAGTTACAATTTCACTGAACATAGGGACTTACACGGCCATTTTTTTCCATGCGTAGGACTCATTGCAGCCTCCCCGGGATTCACGTGATTAACGTTCAGGTTGCTGGAGAGCCACCTCACGTTTATAACAGTCGCAGTCTTCAGGGTTCACTTTTGCGACCTTCTGGTAAACAAAATCAACGGGGAACCCAGATTTGTTGGACGTACCGTACTGCTAATTTTTAACACCTGCAGTGATTCGCTTAATCAAATGTGGCAAGAAGAGTCGTAAAATGGGACCGACTCAGTTGACAATTTTTTTTTCACTTAACAACATCAAGGTCGGGCTCAGTTGTGGTTGTGGGCTAGGTGCATGGGATTTAAATTTGGAGAATGAATATGTAAAACCTTATATGATTCAAGTAACTTTGGATATAATGTAATGCCAGACTAATGGGAGAATGTGTGCTTCAAAATTTACACTAAATTATACTCCAAAAGAAAATTTTTATAAGATGATGCATCCCTGGTATACAACACCAATAAGTTGTCAAGAATGTATAAAGGTATTGGAAATGTAAATGTAAAAAAGAGACTTTTTATCATTTATGATGGACATGTGATAAAGCAAAAAAATATTGGAGTAAGATTCACACCTTAATACAAAAGATTCTCAAAGCCAAAGGGAATATAAAGATATTCCTAAGAGGTTTGTAAAGGGCGTGCATAAGTGCACCATCGTGCCTCCCATCTCTGTCCTATTGTCCGCATTTAATTTTACCTATTTTCTGTATTCTTACTCATGTTTATACTTATACCTATTATTTTGAAAGTGATTGACAAATCAAAATAAATAACATAAAAATAACACTAGAAAAAGCTGGCTGAGGGATTCTGGGAGTTGAAGTCCGCGAGTCTTAAAGTTGCCAAGATTGGAGACCCCTGAATTAGAGAGCTTCTGACATCCTTAAAATGAAAAGATAAAGTGACAGAAAGATGGCTGGATCCTATCACCTGATCAGAAAAAAAAGTTTCTTAACTTCAAACAACCTTTGTGGCTACTTTACGGTGCAAAGAAGGGATTGCTTTCATCTTCTCCAATCAGCTTTCTTTTTTTCCTTTCATCTTTGTTGGGTTAACTATAAAAGGGGATATAAGCAGTGGTGCGATTCAACCGGTATCACAACTGGTTCGATGAGCGTGCTACCGGTTCTCCTGAACCGGTCCATACCGGCTGAATTCCACCACTGGATATAAGCTAAGGATCCGCGTTCTCTCACTGAATGAGAGGAATCCCTTTTTGTCTGAATATTCTGATAAATATTGTAATGAAATGATCTTCCTGTCTTGGTCTGTCTCACTAGAAAATACGCATGCCGAGGCACGAGCCTAAAATTGGCCTTGGTCAATCCGTCTCCTTCCAGTGGATCAGAATGCAAGGATCACAATGCCTGATTGTTGGGGCTACAGCAACGCTGCACAAACATTCATCCAGGCCCAGGGATCCTTTCGGCCCCCAAAACTGATAGGACAAGTCCAGACCAAGGAGTCCGCTCATGTTTACAACCCTGAATTCCGGAGGAAACCAACCAACTTTCAGCTGTTTTCCTCTTGCGGAAACCATGCGCTCAGCTGACGGACACCGATTTCACATTCTTTGAATGCACAGAGATGCTGAGTCAGGACAAGCTGAATGAATGAGCTGCCAAGAAGCTGTCTGAGTTCATCCTACAACAATTTTGGGTCTGGTCTGGTTTTCGTTCTACATGGTTTAGAAAACCGCTTGGCCAGGATTGAGCTGACTCTAAGAAACGCGATTGCCCGTGTTTCCCTAAAAATAAACCTGGGTCTTATATTAATTTTTGCTCCAAAATGTGCATTAGGGCTTATTTTCCAGTTAGGTCTTACTTTCAGGAAAATATGGTATTAAAATACATCCATCTAGCTGATGATCTTAATTGCAGTTTATTTTGGGGGTAGGGTATACATTACGAACATCCTGAAAAATCAAGCTAGGGATTATTTTCAGGTTGGGTCTTATTTGGGGGAAAATACGGTACTAAAATGCATCTGGTTGACTATCTTCACTGGGTTTATTTTTGGGATAGAGTTTATATTACGAGCATCCAGAAAAATAAAGCTAGGATTTATTTTCTGGTTGGGTCTTATTTTCAGGGAAATACGGCACTAAGATGTATCCATCTGGCTCACGATCGTCACTGGAGCTTATTTTTGGGGTAGGGTATACATTACAAGCATCCAGAAAAATCAAGGTAGGACTTATTTAAGGACTAGGTTGGATCTTATTTTTGGAGACCACTTGGTATAAAAAGCCTGTTACCCTGTAATGTTAAGCTCTGGAAGAACAGCTCAGAATCATAGCCAAACAAATAGAAAAGTATAAACGCATGCAAAACCTTCACAGAATCAACACAACCACTCAGCTGGATAGGGATCGAAAAAAAATCCGGCTGAAAAAAGGAAGGCTGGAAATTATCTTAGAAACATGAACTCTTAAAAACTTGGGAGGTTGTTGCTCAAGGAGGGTCAGGTAGTCCTTGGCTTATGACCCCAATCGAGCCCAAATTTTCTGCCGCTAAATGAAACATGTGTTACGTGAATGTTGTCCTATTGTGCGACTCTCCTTGCCACAGTTGTTCAGTGAATCCCTGCAGCTGTTAAGTGAGTCACCCGGCTGTTCTGTGAATCCGGACTCGCCAATATCTTTGCTTGCAAGAAGGTCACAAAAAGGGTTCCTGGAACCCCAGAGACACGGCCACCATCATAAATATGAACTGCTGGCCAAGTGGCTGAATTTCGATCATGTGACTGTGGGGATGCTGCAATGGTTGTGTGAAAAACGGGTCTTGAGTGCTGTTATAACTCTGAACAGTCACTAAATGAACTGTGGGGTAAGACAAGATCTACCTGTATATGTTTGGCTCTGTTTCTTTGTCAAACTGAAAACCAACCAAACCAACAAGCTCTCCTTCACAGTGGACAACAGAGGTGGGCTTCAGCAGGTTCTGACCAGTTCTGGAGAACCAGTAGCGGAAACTTTGAGTCGTTTGGAGAACCGGCCAATCCCACCTGTGACTGGCCCCGCCCCCTTCCATTCTCTGCCTCCCATTGAGTCCCAGCTGATCGGCTGGGTCTCCTTTGGTTGCCCTGCACAGGAGAATGGAGCTGGAAAGCAGGTTAGTGGGGTGAAGAGGGAAGGGGGATTTTACAGTATATCCTTCCCTTGCCACGCCCATCAGGCCACGCCCACAGAACCAGTAGTAAAAAACAATCTGAATCCCATCACTGGTGGACAAGCCAAGCCGAACCGATCCACGGCTGGCAATCGGGGGTATTTTGCACCCCTCTGGGCTGCTGTCCACTCACCAAGAGCCCCCAATTTGCTGTATGTGGTAAGATTTCAAGAGAGAGAGAGAGAGAGACCCAAAAAGAAGAATGCAACCTTAACAAGGAGCACCAAGGATTCACAGTGAGTTATCTACCAAGCAGCCCCTCTATCAACCTTCAGAGTCTCCTGAAATTTTAGAGCAGTGAAGGGCTAGCCTTTTCGTCGCCAAGGGCCCAAAGCGCATGTGTGCGTGCGCATCCCCCAAATGCAACACGCACCCCACCCCCACACATGTGCAACCCCCACACATGCATCTCACCTCCTGCACATGCGTGCACGACCCCCACACACGCCCTGTCCCCTGCACCTGCACGGCAGAGACCAGCTGGCCGATGGATGCGCTTGCACGCATGTGTGGCGGATCTGAGCTGGGGCAACGGCTGGCGTGCCCAGAGAGAGGGCTCTGAGTGCCTTCACAACTTCAGAGCTACCTATGGCTCTGTCCCAGGTCATGCTGGTGACAAATTCAAAACCCGGCTAGGCACCTTTTTGGGGAGTGTCACCCTCCTCACCTGCAGCCAGTTCTTGTAATAGGTTGACCCCGCTCACTCAAGATCAGATTCTGGATGAGATCTTATTACAGGCCAACCTGCCATTCAATCAATCAATCAGAATAGAGTTGGAAGAGACTTTGGAGGTCTTCTAGTCCAACCCCCTGCTCATGCAGGAGACCCCCCCCATGCCATTTCAGACTGTCCAGTCCCTTCTCAAAGACTTCTAGTGATAGAGCAAACACACGTTCGGGAGACAAGCCATTCCACTGGTTAATTGTCCTCACTGTTAGGAAGTTTCTCCTTAATTCTGGGTTGCTTCTCTCCTGGATTAGTTTCCATCCCTTATTTCTTGTCTTGCCTTCAGGTGCTTTGGAAAATAAAATGAGGAGGAGGGGAGGAGGAGGAGGGAGCACTGAGGGCTCCTTGCTTGTTTTCCTGCAGATGTTTCATGACCCAACTAGGTAACATCATCAGTGCTAGTACCATTCATTGTCAAAGTGCCTAAAAAAATCAGTTCTTTTCATATTCATAGAAGTCTTTAGCTTACCTCCATCAGACACGGTTGTAGACTGCAGGGAGAGAAGGGAAGGAGAGAGAGAGAGAGAGAGAGAGAGAGAGAAATGATCAGTCTTGAATGCAAAAACTGGAAAATTCTAAGATCTGAGCCAGATGCTTTATGCACCCCTTTGATCCAACCTTCAAACCGTTAGCCCATTCAGTGTGATTTGATTCGGTCCGTTAATGAGAACAAAATGTTCCCGGTGAAAATAAAGGTAAGTTTTTGAATGAATAAAGTTGATTTCAGAGGGAGGGAGACAGTATATTTATTCAAAAAAGAGAAGTACCACTTACGCATCATCACAAAATGAACCGTAAAGCCTACAAACTTGAAATTTGGGCACCTATGTTCCTCTTGGCTTCTAGGTGCTCACTAAGAAAGGATTTTTCCAAAGGACCATCAGAACTATTAGTATTTCCTATATTATTATTATTATTATTATTATTATTATTATTATTATTATTATTATTATATGCTAAGGAGTTCTACTCCCCCTCCCCGCCTGAAAAGAAATCTCTTCCAAATGCAAAACACAAGCAGAGGAGTTTCAGTTTCAGAGAAGCTCCAAGCAGCTTCAGTACAGAACAGTTGAGCTAAGCCATTCCATTCCATTCCTGATTCATTCTACTATTATTCTATTCTATTCTATTCTATTCTATTCTATTCTATTCTATTCTATTCT